GAGGCATCGAAAAAGCAGCGATGAAACAACGGGGTGGATTAAGGCGGTGTCGAACCACGAACCTCGGTGTTGCCGAATGGTGCCGCAGTGCGCGCGGCTGCGGGAACAGCCAACTTGCTGCGTAGGGTTTCCTCCACTTAATTGCCACCCCAGCGTCCTGGCCGAGGCAGATTTAGTGCGACGCGCCGCCACGGGATAAAAGAATCAGGACGCCGTGGGGCGAGGACCCCGACGGCGTGGCGGGGTCAACATAGTTTCCGTGGAAGCGGGGCAAGGCGGGCGAAGCAGGGTGGACTAGAAATTTACGTCGGACGGCCGGACTAGCCAAGGGCCCGCCTGTCTCTCTCGCGCCCCAACGAGGCGCCACGTGCGTGCGAGAGAGAGAGAGACAGAGCGACGAAAGCGCTGTGCGGAATCAACCCGCGTTCCGCCGCAAGTGAGAGTGAGAGCAAGCGTCGTTTGCTCTGGATAGGGTTTGGCTGGCTCAGGGGTTGAAGCGAGGGTTGAAGCGACCGCGCCGTGCCGTGCTGCTGCCCCCCCCCCCTCTTCCCCCCTCTGCAGCTTCCTCCCCGCAGAGCCGCAGAGGCAGCGCGCCTTTGCCGGCCTCGCCACAAACGGCCCGCCAGGGTAACTTACGCCGGAGCCGGAATCAGGAACATTGGTCCGGACGGAAAAATCCCACTTCCCAAAGATCACCGCACCGAGCCGCACCCCGCCGCGCCGCCGTCTGCGTTCGTTACCAGAGGAAAAGACGGTGGCGCGCGACGCCGCCTTGGAGAGGCCGCCGCGGGCGCCGCCAAGCACACCGTGAGGCAGCACACCGTGAGGCAGCACACCGTGAGGCAGAGCGCGCCAGGAGAGGGCCAGAGAGGGTTGCTTGCCTGCTGCTGCAGTGCAGCCGCCTTCTGGAGAGAAAGCGAGAAAGGAAGCACAGCAAAAAAGCGCGCGCGGTGCTGCTGGCGGTTCGGCCAGCGAGTAGCGCGCTTCGAGAAATCGATTTTTTCCCGCGCTTTCCGCTCGATTGGAAACCGCACCGCGGCGCGCTCCGCCGGTCTCTGCGGCCTGCAGGCTGAGTCGCTGTGTCTCTCTCGCTCCCTCACGGGACGCCCCACGAGTGCGAGAGGGACAGACGCCGCCATGAGGTTCGCAACGGGATCGTGATCCTGCGGCCTGCTGGACTGTCACGCGCTTGCCGACTTGTTCCAGGCAGTCGTTTCATCGCGCTGTCTCTCTCGCACCCCCGGACGCCCAGTATGGGTGCAGCGTGGAACCCCGAAACCTCCCCGCGGTGACGCGAGCCGCCAGTTCGATCGCCGCAAAAGGAACACACGCCGCGGGCCAGACACACAAAAAAACAACAACAACACAAACAACGTGGGAAACAAAAGAGAAACAAACAAACAAAAAAAACGGCAACAAAGGCGAGCAATTACCAGTGGCGCGAAATAACGGTCGGCCGTTTTAATTAGAGTGCCAGAGGAGCGGGTAATTTCGCTTTTCGGATGAATTACGCGACCGTGACAAATCCGGAAGCGAGGGGGGGGGGAGGGGCGCCCAACTGTCTTGGCGCTGCAAACTGCGGGCCGGAGTCGCACCGTGGAAACCCGATCGGGCCGGATTCACATCGACAAGCTGTCACAGCGTCACAGACTCACAGCGCGGACGCTGCCGCGGGCTGCGTCCTGGTCCTGGGACTGTCCTGGTCCTTGGACTGTCCTGGGTTTGTAGGGCATCCGTGAGGCTGCACCCGGTATGCCCTGCCGGTGTCGCTAGCGAAGTAGGCTACGTAAAGGGTGGCCAACCTCCACCTGCCTACTGGGCAACAGCTGAATCTTTTTCGGGCCCGCTTCGCAACGTGCCCCGGCTGTTTTCCGTTCGGAGCCTCCCGGAGCCTCCGCTGCATTTACATGCTATTTGTCCGCGCGGCCTGCATAAGTCGGCCTCGGCTTATCGACGCCCGCCCTGCAACTGTTGCGTTTCCCGCGCGTTTTTGCCTCCGACAAAAGCTGCAGTTTGTCTCCGTTGTTGTTTTTGTTTCGGGATGACTCGGCTGCGCCCTTATTGGCAGCGGCACTCTCGGCATGGAGGGCAATGGAGGAAAATCGGGGAGAAGAAATAAAAATAAAAGGATGAAACCGCGCGCGCGCGCGCGCGGGGCAAGTGGTACTTGAACCCGGGCCGGCCGGAGCGTGGAACGACGGTTGCCCCGCGAAACACGGAACACGCGCAGCGTTCGAGATCTCGGGGCGTGTTGCCGTGTTACGTCGCGAATAGCCAACACGTTAAGCAAGATGAATGGAGGGCCGCGGGCCAGCAGGGCTGCCGGGCCGGCGGGGCCCCGGGGGGTGGCCGGCGAGGGGAGGGGGAGGGGACGCGAGCGGCACTGTGTGCTTGACGTACCTCTGCCGCGCTGCTGCCGGCCTCCTCCGGGGGTCATCCTATTGTCCGTCGCCGTTTTGTCTCTGTCTGCGCGACGCGGTGCTGCGCGGCGCGGCGTCCCTTTCTCGCAGCGCCGCCGCGCGCTGCGCCACCCAGCTGAGTCGGTGGTAAACAGCAGGCAGGCGGGGTCACCCGCGCGCCGCCGCCTCCGCCGGCCGCCCCCGCCGCCCCCGCTGCGCCGCCATCCAAGGCGGTGCGTCCTCCGCGTCGCGTCGCCGCCGCCGGATGGAGCGTGGTGCGTGCGGCGCGGTGCTGCGGGGCGCGGTGGACGCGGTGGACGCGGTGAACGCCGTGGACGCGGTGGACGCGGCACGGCGCGGTTCGGCACGCGGCGCGGCAGAACGCCCCCGCAGTGAGAGGCGCCGGCGAGCGGGCTGCCGTCCCTCCGTCTTGCCTGGCGCCCTGCGCCGCACTGCCAACCCCACGGCACACCCCGCTCCCCCCGCTCGCCGCGGGCCTCCCCGCGCCCCCGCCACCCCCCGCCACCCCCCGCCACCCTGGCAGGGTCGCAGGGGTGGGAAGCACTCGCCGAGGGGTAACTGGCTGGGGGGTGGGAAGGCGGCCCGCTCGGCCCCGCTCGCCCCGCGGAGGGGAGGGCAGGGGCAGAGCCCTGTGTGGTGGCCGCGGTACAAGTGTCGGCACGGTGCAGTACTCACTTGGCGAGGCATGCGAAGCGCCGCTACCTGTCGGCCTTCTTGTCGCCGAGCCGTTCCACCCCCACCCCCTCCCCCGAAGCCCCCACGGACCGCCTGCTGGAATTAGCCCGATTCAGCGTCACTGCTCGGCCAGATGCGTGGGCCGGGCGGCGGTGAGAGGACGAGGAAATCCCGCCCTGCAGGCTCCAGGTCAGTGCACACAGTGTACTGCACACAGTGTACTGCACACAGGGCGCCCAATGGGTCCGATCCCCAGCTGCTTTCCTCCGGGCACGCCTCCACAGTGTAGCTGCACAGCGTGGCCGCGCAGTGTGCCTGCAGCAAGGCCTAGCCTCGCCAAGCCTAGCGTGGCCCACAGCCGAAAGCCTCCTACCCGCCCGCTGCCTTGCACAGCATCCCCCGAGCCATCGCATGTGTGCGAACGGTAAGGAAGAAAGAGGAAAATCCGTACGAGGAAGAACTAGACTAGAAACCGCCGCAGCAGGGTGAGCGAGTGTGGCGGGCTGCTGTTCAGTGTGTACTCCGCGGCACAAAAATATAATCAAGGGGCGAACCACTCTAACTTTTGGCGCACGCAGGTGCGGTACGCGGCTGTCCTAATGGAAGAACCAAACCATTTGGGACTTACTCCGACTTTCTACTTAACAACAACGATGCGACACTGCAAGTCGCTGACTAGACGGAACTAGCAGTTCCCTCTGTGGAGCCAAATCAAGTAGAGCGGCGCCCCGTTTATTCTCCTCTTTGATCGCCCTCTGACCCTGCTGGGACTTTACTTACGGGACGGCCCGGCCCTGCTGGGTCGTTGGGTCTTTGGGGGCGGACTGCCGGGGGCGGGGCGCTCTGTCTCTCTCACTCTCATGGGGCGCACCGAATGAGTCCGAAATGGCGCGGCTGCCTGTGTGACAACCCGACCCCCGCACGTCCGCTCATGCATCCTGCGCAAAGCCAGCCAAGCCCCCCCCCCCTCTTTGCTCGTTTCGCTCGCAGACCTCCCCTGGCCGCCGCCGGGGGGTTGAAAACACTTGTAGTCGACCGTGCCGACTGCTTGTAAGTTAATCAGAATGTGGTGCTGGAGAGTCCTGGAGGACTCCCCCTGAAGTCAGGCCAGCCCTTCCCACCCCCGCGTCCCTTCCGCGCCCTCCGCGCCAAATCCTGGAACGGTGCCTGCGCTCCGCCCCGCGCTGCACTGCGAAAGGCCGTCCCCAGCCACCGCGACGCCCCGCGACGCCCCGCGATTCAGAAGAGGCATCTCTGTCTCTGTCGCACCCTATAGGCACTCCGCAAGGCTGCGAGAGAGACAGCCACCGTCGAGGAGGCCTCGTTATTTTAATCTGTCTCTCGCAGTGCAGGCCCGCTGGACCTCGGAGACACGCCGTCGCGTCGCTGCTGGCAGTGCTGGGGCCGCCGAGGCGGACTTAAAACGCCGGCAGAGCGCGTCGCCGCGAGAGCCGCACCACACGCCAAAGCCCCGGGTTCAAACACCAGCCAGGCCCTTCCCTTTTCGCATGCACGACGGCTGCGGCGGCGCCCGGGCTGGGCTAGGCTGGGCCCCGGTCCTGGATCGGCCTTGGCAGCGGCGTGGCAGCCTCGAAAGGCAGAAGCAGTGTTGCTTATAAATATTCACCAAGGGGCCTCGCCTCTGCCTGCCGGCTGCGCCGCCGACGTTTTCACGGTCAACGTTTCCCCCTTCCTTAAATCCAAGAGATATGAACTAACAAAAAAATACAACGGGGCGAAACAGGGTGAAACCGCCACCGCCCCAAGGCCTCGCGCCGCCTTGCGCCGCCTTGCGCGGTTCGCTGTTGGCTCCGCCTCGCGCAAACTTTCGTTTTCTTTGAATTCCGCTTCGCCTTCTCCCGAGGCCGCCAAAGCCACGCTGCTGAATCTTTGGACGCGACTCACCGGGGTCCTGGGCGCTGCCCGCGTTGCTGGCGAGGGCGCTCAGGTGCGCCGAGATGATGTCCTGCTGCCGCTCCTGCCGCCACCGCAGCTGGTCCCGGCGCCGCAGGTGCTTGCCGAGCCGCGTCCCCGCCACCGCCACCCTCCCCGTCAGCGTGGACAGCAGCTGCCGCAGCTCGGCCGGGCCTGCGGAGTTCCGGGCGAAGCCCGCGAAGCAGCGCCGGTCAGCGACAGTTTTCTAATCGGAGTTCCGGTCCGCAAAGCCGTCGGCCGGCAGCAGACTGATTCCGAGAGTCGTTTCCGTCGCTCTGTCTCTCTCTCACCTAACGAGACGCACCACTGTGCGAGAGAGACAGAGCGACGAAAACGACCCTCGGATTCAGTCTGCTGGGCGGTTCGGCTCCGAGCGCTGCGGCGGCGGGCCGCTTGGCTCGCGCTGCCTGCTCCGGTCGGTCTTTCGGTGAGTGGCGCGAGGTCCCCTCCGCTCTTCTTCCCCGGGAAGGAGCGCGATGCTAACATGCATCGCAATTTTTGAAGGGGAGAGTTGTCAGGACAACTCTCTCTAGTAATAAACATAGCAACTCAGTCATTATATGGCGGGAGAGCTCATTCACATATGTAGTCTTTCGAATGAAGGCCGAATTAATGCTTATCGCCATCTCCTTTCAGAATTTGTATGACTTATGTTAAACGCGGAATATGACATTCATTTTTTTAAAGTGCATAATAATATCCGAGCCCGACGGCGACGCCGCCGCGCCCCTGTAATCTAATACCCACTTCGCTGGCGCAGGGGCGCCAGGGGCCGCTCGTCACCGGAGGAGGCGGAGTCCCTGGTGGAGGACGTCAGGGTGGCGCCGCTCGCGCCGCTCAGCCGCCGGGCGGACGTCGACACCTGCGGACCCAAAACCGGGCACAGTGGGTCAGAGGACCTGTGGAGCGGGCAAAACTCTAGACGCGTTTTGAGCTCCAGAGTCGCTAAATGGGACTCGAACCGAACGTGTGACCCCACCAATGGATTGCTCTCCGAACGAGGAATTCATTGGTAGGATCACTCGTTCGGTTCGAGGCCTGTTTAGCGACTCTGGAGCTCAAAACGCGTCTAGAGTTTTGGCCGCCTCTACCGGTCTTCTGGCCCACTGTACGGGGCACACCTTGCCCAAGAAACAATGGCAGCGTGTCTCTCTCGCGCTCACGGGGTCGTCCCTGTGCGGGGTGCGGGAGAGTCAGAGCGGCGGGAGCTTTGCATGAGTATTGCAGAGAGATTGACAGGCGAGAAAAAATGAAAAAGGGATGGAACTGGGCTGACTGTGGTGTGTGTGTGTGTGCGTGTGCGTGTGTGTGTGTGTGTGTGTGTGTGTGTGAGAGAGAGAGAGAGAGAGAGAGAGAGAGAGAGAGAGAGAGAGAGAGAGAGAGAGAGAGAGAGAGAGAGAGAGAGAGAGAGGCGCGCAGGGCAGGCAGCACAATGGGTGGCGCCCGCTCTGCCAATTGCAGCCCCCTTCCACGTGCCCACGCAGCGCTGCGGACTGATTCCGAGAGTCGTTTCCATCGCTCTGTCTCTCTCGCACTCATGGGGCGTTCCATATGGGTGCGAGAGAGACAGAGCGACGAAAACGACTCTCGGAATCGGCCTGCAGCGCCCGCTTCGAGCGGCAGCGCCGCAGCCTCCCTGTCCAGGGATGAAAAGTTGGACGTGCGCATCCGGGAGGAGGCCGAGGGTGCCGAGGCCGCGCTGTTGCAGACTGCCGTCTCTCTCGCACCCGTACGGGACGCCACAGCCGTGCGAGAGAGACAGAGAGATACACCTCCCTCTCGGAATCAGTCCATCGCGGGGGCGGACTCGGTCGTCGGTGCGATCAGCGAGAACGACAGGGGAAGGCTTCTTTGCATCGAGCAAAGGCAGCGGCGGCATTTGGCGACGTTGGCGACGTGGATCGAACGGGGAATGACGGGGGAGGGACAGGGGGGAAGGGGGAAGGGGGAAGGGGACATGCAAAGGAAAACACTTTCCGTCCTCACCGGCGCCTCGCCTCGCCTCGGGACTTGGGGGACTTGAGTTTAGTGCCACGCTAGGGAAGCCATCTCACAATATCCTTATTCTTCTTCGCCCCGACCCTTTCCAACTTCGGCCCGGCTTCCTCCACGTCCCTGCAGGCCTAGCAGGCCGAGCAAGACTAGCAGGCCCAGCAGGCCTCCTCGGTGCACAGCCTCTGCCTCGGCCCCGTCCACTCCCAGTGGATCGCCACTTGGGCACGGCCGGTGTGGAACATTCACAATGCTGCCCTTGGCTTTGGCCGCTCTCCTGAGTGCAAGGGAGTGCTATAGGTTGGACTGGCACTCGTGTGTCAGATCTGAAAAAAGTCCGCCGCAGGTGGGATTCGAACTCACAACCAAGGAATTTGCCACACATTGTCACATTGCCAATGGCGCCTGGCGGCGGGGGCGCGGGCGGCTGCGACGCGGCGCGTGAGTCCGCGCGAGTCCCACGCAGTCGTTCGTAACGCGGCCGCGAGGTGGCGCTGGCATCGCGCGCTGGCGCGTCTCTCTCGCTGACGGGCCAGGTTGGCCAGTAGTAGTTTTCAATCATGTCCACACGAACCCACATAGGTTAGGTTGACGCGTCCAGGGAGTACTCTTACTCCGAAGTCCAATTTTTGAAGGGTGAAAGGCGATGCGTGTCCTTCCAGGACACGCGCCTACTCACCTCATGAGGGTCACTAATACTGCGTGGTGTGATCGGCAGCCCACGCTCGTACACCGACATACCGTCCATATGTGTGTCATCGGGTCTTTCCATTAATAGTCTGCCGTTGATACTTCTGGCGCTCGCGAAGCTGATCGCCACTCACCTTGTAGATGTCCATGAGGAGCTCGTCGAGGAGCTGCCTGCTGGAGCAGCTCGCCACCCCGTGGTGGCAGTGGCACGTCTCGGAGCACGTCACGCCCAGGGTGGCGGGGCTGTCGGCGGGCACGGCCTCGCCCAGGACGCGGCACGCCCTGCCAGGGGCCGGCCGCGGTGGCGGGCTGTCACAGGTCACCCCGCTCGTCAGGGCACTCGTCACGGCGCTCGTCACAACCGGGTCGTTGGTGGCCACTTGTTGCAGTGGAGGTGCGACGCGGTCCGTCGCTTGTCGCTCGTCCCTTGACGGCGTCCTGGCTTCCCGGCTCTTCACCGGCTGCACTGCGTCGTCGTCGTCCCTTCCTGCCGGCGGCACTCTCTCGGTGCACCAGGTCAACACTTTGCGATCCAGAGACCTTCCAAAACACGCGCCCACGAGTACAGAATAATTAAAACTCAGCTGCTCGACGGAGCGCGGCCGCCCACAGGCCGCGCCCCAGGCGGGAGTCGAACCCGAGACTCACCGACTCCAGGCGAGCTGCGGCTGCTCGAAGGCGAAGGTGCCCGCGCCCTTGCCGGCCTGGGGCAGCGACGGCAGCGACGGCAGCGACACCGGGCACGGCGACGGGGCGAACGCGAAGGGCTTGCCGCTGGGCTGCAGGTACTCCTCGAGGTACTCGGCCAGCACGGTGGCCTCCAAGGCCATCTGCCGGTGAGGCTGGCGCACCGGGGCGTCCCTGGCCGCACCTGGGCGGACTCCCATGGCGCCACGGCCTGGAGCGCCTGGAGAAGGTCAACGTCAACAGTTTTTGTTAAGAGGCACTGACGAACAATAACGCCAACAACACAACAACAACGGCGAGGCCCGCGGTGCCGCCCACGCCCGACGGAGGATGATAGGCTGCTCCCGTTTTCCGACAGGTCCTCTGACCTTTGGTCGCAAAGCCCGACCCCGACCCGTTATTGGCAGACGCCGTGAGGGTCGGCGTGGTGTTTGAACGGCGCGGGGGCGGGAAAGAGAGGGTCCATCCAGCAGGGCAGGGCCAGCAGGGCCAGCAGGGCCAGCAGGGCCAGCAGGGCCAGCAGCCCACCTGGAGCAATTAGCCTCACCGCAATCCACACAGATGTCGCAGCCCATCATCGGCCGGCCGGCGGGCTTGCTTCCTCGCGCCGTCTCTCTCTCTCTCTCTCTCTCTCTCTCTCTCTCTCTCTCTCTCTCTCTCTCTCTCTCTCTCTCTCTCTCTCTCTCTCTCTCTCTCTCTCTCTCTCGCACCCCTTAATTCATCCTCCAATCAGAGCAATCGAAAACAAGTTCTCCATTTTCGACGCTCCTCCTTTTTTTACCTCCAGAAACACGAATCGCTAATTAATCATTTTACAACCTGGCCCGTCCCATCAAGATTCCCCCCGGTTGCCCGCCCTGCAGTGTAGGCCTAAGCGACCCCCACAATCCCTCCCCCGGGGGCCGGGGCGTGTTTTTTACGGCCTCGGCCGCTTTAGCGTCGGCCGGCGCGGCGCTCGGGGCGGCGTGCATATCAGTCCGACACGCGTCGTACAGGTGAGGCGGCGCACGGCGGCGGCGGAGGCCGAGGCAGAGGCCGAGGCAGAGGCCGTGCCCGGCCCGTGTTCTATCTCGTCCTCGGCTGGCGCGCGCCGAGGGCGCCGAGGGCGCCGAGGCCCGGGGCGCGGCACGGCCTCCTCGACTAGCTCCAGGACCAAGATCCGAGCGGCTGATGACACAAGCCGCCACGCTGCAGCCGAGCGGAGTTGTGTTTCCCGGGCCCCCTCTCGCGGCTCGCAAACTCTGCGCGCTCAGCAGACTGACGACTGATTCCGAAGGTTGTGTCGTCTCTGTCGCACTCACGGGGCGTCGCGCAGGGGTGCGAGGGAGACGGAGCGACTGTTCAGAATCGGGGCTCGGAGTCGCGGCCCGTGAAATTGTGTTTGCATCGGGGCCGATTCAACGCACGCCTCGGCGTGGCGCGTTTCTTGAGCAAGAGTTGCGAACAAACTCTGTTGCTTGCTCTAGGGCCGTGCCACCGTGCTCTAGGCTGGGCCGGCTGAGGCCGGCTGAGGCCGCATCGTGCGCATGCGGGCGGGCCGGGCCGGGGCGCCGTCCGCGACCATCGCGACGTGGACGAGACGCAGAGACGCCAACCAGTGGTTCAGTGCTTTGGTGGCGCTGCCTCTCACTCCCCTTCGGCCACGGGGCGCCCTGTGAGTGCGAGAGAGACAGCGCGCCGGCCGTCCGCGAAAGGGTTGCCTCGCCAGAATGAGACGTCGGAGGCGCTCCGAAAAACACTCAACATCTTCATTTACGCTCGCCGCAGCCTTCGCCCGCGCAGTTTTTACTCCCTGGACGGAGCCCCCCCCCCTCTCTCTCCACCCCTTGCACCGCCCCTTCCCCTCCCCCACACCGAATTAATTAATTAATGGGTTGCGTGCGCCGCGCTGCCCGTCTCTGTCGCACCCCCGCGAGAACCCCTTGCCCGCGCTGGTCGTCCCTCTCGCACCGCCGCGAGGGTCCCGGCGACCCGGTCGGCTTAGGTGAGGTAACATGGAATATCTTGAGTGCGTACACTGGTAGGGTGCCGAGCCGTCTCCCTCTCCCCCGAAGCCCAATTTCCGGAAAGGATTCGAACGGGGCGCTCGGTGGCGGTGGCGGTAAATGGGCGCGGCATGACGAGGGGGCACGAAGCCGAGCACAAACTGCTGCAAACTGCAAACGCGCGGTTGCGGACCTCGTTTCGCGATTCGGTGTTGTTCGTTCGGCCTGCGCGAGACGGGTCAGCGCGTCAGCGCCTTGTAGTGTAGTGTCCCAGTGAGAAGGGGAGGGGGAGGGGGGACGGCCCAGCGCCGTGGCGCGTTCACCCAGCCAGCCCCAGCACGCTCAGCACCTTGCGTAAGGCGCCACGCAGGTGCGCGGTCGCTCACCCACTCGTACGGCTGCGTGGGCTAATTTGGGACGGACAGACACGCAGACAGACAGACAGACAGACAGACAGACAGACAGACTGACTGACAGACGGACGGACAGGCAGACTAGCAAACGGACCAACGGATGGGGAGATAGTTAGGTCCACGGGCTGGCGAACTGGTGATGCTTAGTTTATGACATGTTTCTACTGCGACTGGCGGACTGACGGGGTACACAGGGACACGCGGGCAGACAAGCAAACGACGTGACAATCGGACAGTCGGACAAACGCGCGCAGAGCCTCGGACACCGAGTGGCGAAGCGGAGCTTTCGGAAACAGCCTTGCCCTGCCCCTGCTCGCTCGCCAACAAGCACGAGACCTCAAGAAACAAAAAAACGGGCGGCGGTTCCTCCGGGATTCGAGCCCCGGCCGCAGGGGAAGTCTAGGCAGCGCCGGCCTCGAGAAGTCCAGCTCACCTCTAGCGGTCCTGCTGCTCTGGGGCAGGCGATGCTCGTCGAGGTGCTCGCGTTGTCCGCATCGCTGCTCGTGGCGGTTGGCTGGGCGGAAAGAACTGCGTCGCGGAGTGGCGGAGCACGCCGTCAGTGTGGTTCACTAAACACACTCTGGACTCGTATCAGGCGTGCATGCGGGACAAGAGCGGCCCAGACCGGCTGCGCGCCCCGCCCCGCCCCGCCCCGCCCCGCCCGCCGTCGTACGGGCCACGGCCCTGTGTGGGCTTGTGCCGACCCGGCAGTATTCACAGCAGACCGCTTATTCAGACTCGCGATCGGTCCACCCGCCGCGGCAAAGCCAAAGGCACGCCAAAGGCACGCCAAAGGCACGGCTCAGCTCGACTTCAGCCTGCGCGCGCGCGGGTAGGCAACCCCAGTAACGCCGTGCAGGTGTGTTGCCTACCCGCCGGGCGCTGAAGGAGAGCTCTATGAAAAACGTTGCTCCAGTGTTCACGTTTCGAATCGCGCACCCAACGATTTGCAGTCTTTCACGGTTTTCACCGAGCGAAAAAAAAAGTGGTTCTGACGAGAGGCAAACTCGGCCGAAACCGTTGACCTCGTTGCTCGGTTCGCGGCGGTTCGCGGCATCTGCGAGTTCGGCCGTGTTTGCTGTCCCAGAATACCCCGGGCGATGCGGCCGTGCCAATTTGTGCCGTAAAAGTCCGTCCGCGGCGCGGCGGGCACGGCGGGCACGGAGGGGCCGTCGGGGGGCTCCTGGCTGTGGACACAGCTGCACTCGCCGCGTCGCCACGCTGCTGCTGCAGGCGCTCTGTCTCTCTCGCTCCGCAGCGGCAGGCGCCATGAGTGCGAGAGAGACAGAGCGACGAAAGCCGTGTTCGGAATCGGCCTGCAACTCGTTAGACACGGCGAGGCGAGGTGAGGGCGGCCGGTTCGGCAGTGGAGGCACTCGTCGCGCTATCGCCGTGCGAGCGTCCTGCCCGGCCTTCCCACCTCCACGACGCAGCCCAAGTAGTGCATCCGGTGCCACTGTGTGCCACTGTGTGGCGGCGACGCCAGTCCGCCGAGCATGACCGCCAGCGCCGACCTGGAGCACGCCGAGGACCGCGTCGGGGCGGCGACGGCCTCCGCGGAAGAGGCTGGCAAGGACCCCGCCCCCGCCGCCGCCGGTAGGCACAGGCACCTTAAGGTCACCTTAAGCTGTCCCTGACGTGGCCGACGCGCCGGGCAGTGGACATTGCGATGTGATTTCCTGCTGCAGGCCGCGGTCGCGCCGTCCCCGACAGGCGGTTCAGCATCGCGGACGACGACAACGAGGACGCCAGCAGCTGCTTCGAGGAGCCCTCCGCCGGCGCGGCCGCCGCGGCCAGCATCCTGGTCTCGCTGGCGGAGCGCAGCGCCGTCGTCCGGGACACCCTGGCGTGCTCGGGGCCCACCACGCTGGACCGCCGCTTCAGCATCGACGGCGACGACGAGGAGGCTGGCCGTGTGGCGGACACGTCTGCCGCCATGGCGGCGGGGGCGGCCGTGGCGGGGGCGGCGAGGCTGGCCACCTTTGCAGGCAGCGGCCCCGCGCCCCTCCCGGAGCCAGCCCCCGCCGCCCCCAGCTGGAGGGCCAAGCGCTACGGGCTCGTCCTCACCACCCTGGCGGCCGCGGCGCTGGTCCTCTTGGGGGCGGCCAGGGTGCTGGTCATCGCTTTGTGAAGCTTGAATGGTTTGCGTCACGGCAAGATGAGGATCAGCCGCCGAAAAAACCTCGGCGATACCCTGCGCCCGAGTGACTCTCAGCTGGCCATATGGCGCACGGAGTATCGACAGGTTCATGACTTATGCATCTTATGCGACCTATTTTACTACTCGGGCGGCGGACAGAAAAACTGACCCGTTCTGGAGCGGGCTCTCCATAAGGCCAACGATTGCTTTTGTTTGTCGAAATGGCTGTACTACGGCAAACACCAGGCAAGCTTGAAGATAAGTCAGTGGAGTGACCTTAGTGTTGCCATTCCTGAGAAGAGTTGGTGCTCATGGAAGTAAAAGGGGTAAAAACAATCATAAAAAATTAAATGATTTATTTAGGAAATACTTAGGATAAACACTGATACATACTTTTATAAACTCGGATACATACAATATATATTTTTTATATTTGTTTTATTGCTTAGTTGAAGAGAACTAGGTAACCAAATAAAATTGCCTTTCACAGGAAGCGGTCTTTCACGTTTGTTAAGCAAACCGTCCAAAAAAAGAAAAGAAACCATGTAAGTTCATTAAATTCATCAGTCAAAAGTGTGTAGGAAAATGGAGCAATCACAAAAAGCCAGAATCAGAATCACAGTTATTTACACAATGTCCTACATGGTTAATTTGTATAGTGCAGAAAGACATGCATGAGAAAATAGTTGATGGACATAGCTGCACTCTTTCAACAGGAACGATGAGAAAGCTCTGCAACAGAAAGGCATTAGCGCATAGGCTAACCACAGTCTTGTGGCAGAAACATAAACTTTTTCTAGAGTCGTATTGCATCACAATTTGGTAACAATACTGTAAGTGCACACCAATAAAGTTGAGTGAGGCACTTAATACATATGTACAATATTGCTGATAATATAAGCTCTGAGTTTATATATTTTTACCGATGAACACAATTCATTACTTTCTTAAACCTCTACAATTCCATTACTTGTTTAAAAATATTCATTTTCATCACACAGACAATGCCTTAATGTTAAAACCAGAAAGGCTTCATACTGTACATACTTAACATACTTCAACTAGGATAAAATAATATTCTTTGTAAAACTAAACAGTGAATATGTCAAAAAATTACAAGCAGGGTACTTGATATAGACTTTTCACAGTCATTATTGCACTACAAGTCAGATTAAGAACCTTCTTAAAAAAAAAAAAAAAAAAAAAAACACATTTTTATTAAATTTGTACTAAAACAGATTTGTCCTGGACATTTCTGATAGAAAACTTCACATTTCTAAATAAACAAAACCAAACAAAACACAAAAAGGACCTTCTCATTAAACAAATAAGATAAAGTTATTTGGTTTCACTGGTCAGCAGCTGCCACTGTGTTATTAGTTATTGCACTTCACAAGGCTGGTAAACTTTATCACAAGCCATAACTGCTGATGCTTTTTTCTTTTCCTAAGATAGATTTGGACTGAATGGAAACTTACAAGTGAGTTTCTTGACATGAAAAGTTCTCAGATTTCTTCAAACTAGACATACTTTTGGTCCACTTCTTGCACTGTGTGTTACCAGGGGTGCAACGTGCAGAACTAGAGAAAAATGATGTAATAGCCCCAAAAGCTAGTGAGAACATTGAGAGCAATTCATACTTGAAACGTTCAGAATCCACAAATAAGCTAAGCAGAAAATAAAAACAACATGCAAGCATAGGCCGAATTCCATTCATTTGCTGAAACAGACAAACCCAGCAACACACAACAGAAAAAAGAAGGAAAACACAAGAGAAAAAAAAATTGACTACACGAACCGTCACATCTAATACATAAATTGAATATATATGTGCTATAATATATGATGACTTTGTGTATAAGTATATATAATTTCCTTAACTTTAAGATGACTTTACAGTAATACAATTTTCTATAAATATATGTTAACAGCAGCATAAATTTTATCTTTAAAAACAACAAACATAAAGTGCGTGACCTGGCAACCTAACAGTTTGCTGTGCAAGACAAAACAAAGTGGTCCCAAAATAAAATGTTCAACACACAAAAACACAATGACATCATTCCTACTGTTTTGAAAAACAGAAAAGAGACAATGAACAGTTAATCCAACAGTATCAGAACAATTCTGGTGTATCTGATCCAGTGGCAACTGACTTTGAAAGAAAGGAATGGAGATAGAACAGAACGTAGATAAATTCAGCTTACAAGCCAAGACATCAAGGTCTATTTTGTATCAAAACTTAATATGTAAAAAAAAGGAAAGGCAGCTAGTAACAAAGTTCAATCCTAACTGGTTGTGAGGTTTTTGGAAGTGACGAGCGTTATCACAAAATGATCTGGTAAACAGCTTCATGACAGCAAAAAGTTGGCAGTGACATTTAAATCTTGGACCAAACAGTTTTGAATTGCCTGCCACAAAATTCAAACAAAGACTTCGAATTGCCAGAAGCACTTAAAAAATATTTCTAGGTCGTCACAGTGTTTTAATTGCTGCATTCGAGGGAATTGTTTACAGCAAGATAGAAGCACAGGACAGTGATCACAAATGTTGATGCACCAGCTTATGCACATAAGTGCAGAAAAATAAGTCAGTTTTCCGAAAAATTTACAGTTTAGACTAGAGGTACAGTTCAGTACAATCAAAACAGGACGTTAGTAACGAGGTCACCAGGAAATTATGAAAACTGTGAGACAAAGTGTATTAATCACAATAATTTATGGATTTTGCTAAGTCAAAGTAAGAAGTCTGAAATAGAGGACTAAATGTGTTGCAGACATCATATAATTGAACACAAATTTTGAGTTCTCAGGACAAATAAATATCACAATAAATTCAAAGACCTCTGTAAACAGTCAAGGAAATTGTAGCACTGCATGAACTTACAAATCACTTTGTAAAAGCAGAAACTAGTACATAATAGGAAAAGAATCACATGCTATGATGCATCAGTTCCCTCATAGGAGGGGAAATCACTAATAATTTGAAACAATCGACAGAAAATGACCTTGTTCAGACACTAAAGTTGATAAAACTGTCAAACACATGACAGCAAGGGCAGTTGAATTGTCACAAAATCACAACTTCATAAAGATTTAGAAATTTCACAAGATAAAAATAATATCAATTGGACAAAGCAAATTGAAATTCAACATGGCATACCATAACTGAGAAGCAAAAGGAAAAGAATTTTATTACATCATGATAAAGACTTCCAGATTGGTTTCTTGGGGAAAATACTATGAAGAAAAGCATGCACAAACAAGGCATGAAGGATAAAGCAAATTGACACCCTGGTTACCAGTTCATATAAAATGGAGTTTTGTTTAGTAGCTTAACATTATGAATCAATGTTTCCTACAGAACACTATTTGAAAACCCTACTTTGATTTTGAAACATTGCCTATAAAGAAATATTAATGAGAGAAAGAGAGAGTGTGTGTGAGAGAGAGAGAGAAGGAGGCATAGCCTTTCTTGAGAAAAACCAAGAATGTATCATATATTATACATTACTAGCTCGGCAGAGCAACATCTCCAAAAAGGCACCCAAGTGATCTCCTCTTATACAGTCTTTTGAATTAGAAACAATTGGGTTTTAAACTCTCATCATAGGTAGACAAAATTTCATGCTTTCAAGGGAAAGAGGTGGAATTCCACTAAAACCATATTCTATAGCTATCAACTCAACTGAAAATTTAAAAGTAAAACAGCTCACCAAGAAGACACTTGTCATCTTGCAAGCTATGCAATTAGAAAGAACTGCTTTATTAGCAGCATATATGGACATCTGCCAACAATTAGAAAAATCCTTCACCACTTAAGTAGGCAACCATGATTTTGTTTGATGCATTCGCAATTTAACCATTGGAAACCATCAAGACAACATGCAAAATATCATTTTTTTAAATAATCACTGACTTAAGATGGCAGAGACTTCAGACATACTCAGACTTTAAAACCGCAAACACTTTCTGAACAAAGATGGGGGGCAAATCTGAACCAGAAAACTTCATTACAGACCATGAGGGAAGTACAACTAACTTGCTTGAAAAACCCAATGAACAATTTAAGATTGTTCTGCAAAGAAATGGTTTCTACAAGTTTCATATAAAAGTTTACTGCTTAGCCACAGCCTTTCAGCACCTAAATGGGCGACATTATAAAAATGGACAACAGAGACTATTTTCTTTCATATAGACAGTGGTATGCCAATTCTGTAAATCAGTGCCATCATGTGTCCATTAAATTGAACTACAATACAAGTGAAAAACTCTACAACTTATTTTTAAGCACACATCATGTCAGTTCACTGTATTCTGTCCATCCATGATTTGGGGCACCTAACCGTAGAACTCCAACTGATCTGTCCTTAGAAGCTGTGATTAAATCTGAAATAAAATTATTAAAGAAAATACGATGTTCAAGACAATTCAATAATAAATTAGTATTTGCTGATTTTTTTTGTGTTGAGGCTTATAAAAGGATACATTCATCGTATGGAGATATATCCATGTCTTGGATATCTCCTTTATGTCGGAACACCTCTCCAAGGTACTCATGATGGTCTGGATAACGCCTATATCTCCTCAAGACGCCTCCTTCACATACAGAGTAGAGGAGACTGCCATTGGAGGTGTATCTGAAAAATTAAGAGCAAAAATATAATGACACACACCACACAATTCAGCTGATCTGTAACACAATTTCCACTAACTACCTTAGTTTCCAAACTGAATTTTCTTTTTGTTCTTTCAGATGTTCCTGTATTCCAGTATGTGGGACATAAGAGGAAACCATATCTCCTCCACTCATAATTAGACCTAAAAAAAGAAAAAGAAAAGAAAAAGGATTTTTAAAGAAGTAGGATATTGTAAGGCTGTAAACCGAATTGTCTCTTTGATAAAAGAAACTTACTATAGAAGCCATCTTCGGCACCTTGGTTAAATGGTTCTGGTGTTGGACAAATTGTGTTAACTTGATGGTTTGCATGGAACTGGTGTAATCCCCTGCCATCAATGGTGGACACTTTGCAAGTTCCATCTGCACCGGCAGTGAGTATAGAGCTAGACTGCCCACGAGCCCATGGCCAAGATGAGTGAAGAAAAACTATGTCGCGAATCACACTTCCATGGAGCTACAACAGACAGACTGGCATGAGAACAAACCATCTCTCAAGCTGAGTGGGTCCATTTAGTTAGCATAAGCAATACTAACATCATAAACAAAATCCAATGGCAAAGGCATACGAAGATCTAGAAGAGTCAAGCCCTTTCCATTTGCCCCAACGACAACAGCCATGTTGGGACACACAGGATCAGCTGCCAAACCTGTGCGATCTTTTCCTGAGTACGCACAGTTGTCATATGCCAAGAGCTGCTCTCCACGTTCTACATCAACAACTGCTAATCTTCTGGCAGTTGTAGCAGCCAAAATCTGGTAAAAATAAAAAACAGTGAAAATTTTGAACTATGCCTAGAGATGAAAGGTGAAATGAAGTATACAACATTAACTACTAAGGTACACTGAATATTGAATATGCACTCACCCTAGACCCATCAGAGGTAAACCTGACAGCATTTACATTACGAGCTAAGGTCATAGTTGTTATTTGATAGCACATAAGTAGTTCCATACGTAATGCTGAATAAAGATTTACTTTCCCATCATAAGCACCAGAGCAAAACAGGTAACGATCCTGTAACAAAAATAATTAACAGCTGAAATAGTCAGAAATAAATAAATAATTTAAAATTAGCAAAGTTAGCAAACTACTAACCCTAGGGCTAAAAGCTACACCTCGGACACTGCCTTGGTGGAACTTGAGAAATCGAGGCTTCCCTTCTTGCTGCATGATGACACTTCGAATAAAGAAGTCCAAAGACTTCTTGTTGGAGATCACAATATTTTCCAATGATGCACACTATGCTAACCATACCATGGTAGCAGTTACACTCTCTGGAATCAGAAAAATAGTAAACATAATATTACATAGATCATCATATTTATCATAAATACATTATGCAGTAATGAAAAATAATTGATAGTGACAAGTCTCATATTTCGTCCTCAAAATTTTGAGAGAAGGAAAATTGAGGGAAATCCACCTGGAATCCTCTTAAGAATAGAATTCTAACCTCACATCCTCTTTCTCTCGACATGACACTTATAATGAAAGGTATGATGCTTCGCTCAATTCCTTGGGAAAGCAGTAACAATGTAACTCGCTCGAAGAGGAAAAATCACCAAAGTACCGAGAGCTAGACTGGAAATATGTTCTGTCAACATACGGGCCGCAACTCCAAGTATTAAATTATGTGTTGATAAAAATCTCAGCAGATGTAAACAAACAATTAGATGAAGGCTCTAATGTCGTGACACGGCATCCGTTCCACCGAAACACTGGTGGGACACTCTGTCACCCACTGAGCGATATGTATTTCTTGTTGCAGAAAGAGCAAGAGCTACAGCTGATCTCAAATTTCCATCACATCCTCGGTTTCAGGGATTTTGGTGTTTTACTGCTCGAGCGAAGTGAACTAGAGTGATGGGACATGACTTACCAGAAAAGTGTTACTTTTGAATCCTTTCAGAGACCTTCAAATTACAGCTACAGGGATCAAAGTTTGCTATTTTCTCCATTTTCTTATCCTTGGCACGCACAGAATTTCTCTCTACTGCAGCTGTGTTCTCCCCCTCTCCCCCTCTCGCCTTTCCCTCCCTTTCCCTTCCCTGACCGAGTCCCTCCTTCTGCCGCCAGAGCGCAGCACGCGGCAAGATGGCCGCTGCGTTGCCATGACGACGAAGGATACGAACGGGATGTAAACAAATTTATCTCCCGAGGTTGTATAACCTTCACTAGTCGTGGAGCCTATGTAAACCAGATTTAATGAGGCTATTTTAACAATGTCTAATTGTGTGACTGGTGGTGCCCATGGTTCCCATTTGAAAACATCAGATCTGTACTGGACATATAATTTGCCCAAAAGATTTGACAATCCAAGTAAGTTTCATTGAATGCACTGACAGAAAGATGTCGTCAAACAACATTTAAAAGAAAAAAAAAACAAATACTTGCAGAAAATTAGGATGTGTAACAATCATGTTGTTTCTGTGCAGCATGGTTCTCGGGATATGGTGTTCAAGCGGAATGCCAAAACCCCATGTATCGTCGAACATCCCAGGATTATGGTTGGCTGCCACCAAGCATTCACACGGTGCCTGTGATATTCAGACCTCAGGATGCTACTTTTTCAAACACTTATGCCAAGTTTGGCATGTACCGTAACTACTCGCTCAATGCAACTCCAAACCCCAACTCTTCGATTCCTTGGACCAGGGGTGCTGCTGATAAAAATCGCCATTCATCCCTTATTGCTGTATTTAAACAACCTGGATGGTGACAGAGGAATTTAATTTTACTGTTCTTCTTTAAGGTGATTCATGTTTTAATTTGATCCTTGTTATTTTTTTTCAAGTGCTTTCCAAAGCTTATTTTACTTGATGAACTGATTTTGGCTGCTGTATTTTATCTGTAGTAGTTTAATGATTTTATTCCATCCAGTCATTAGATATATTATTTATCTAATTTAGAAGACTGTGTTGCAGCCTCATAGTTTTTAATGCCTTGTTTTAAACAATGAGGAGGAAGGCCCTCCCTGTGATTATGCCTCTGTTGTGTTGTTTGTCCTATGACAAGTGTAATATCGTTTCCTGTTTTGTTTTGTGTTATTTATGAAACATCCCATTTATTGGTTTTTTGCTCCTGTGAAGTTGGCATCCAACAAGGTCATCTCAACCTGTGTACCAGGCAGGACTGGGAATGATTTTATTGTTTTAAAATAATGTTAGAACCATAGCTAAGCTAGAGTCATATATATGTGACTATATATGGCCATAGAAGACCTTAGCCAGCCTGCTGCTTGTTGGGTTGCCTAACCTGGGGTCCTCCCTGCATCCCGGCCAGCTGGGTAGGAAACCCAACAAACGCGGAGAAAATTTGGTTGCATACGACAGCGGACCAAGAGCGACCAAGAACCCTTATTTTTCAATCTTTCTACCCTGCAACTTGTGTGTTCTATTACTGTAACGGTTCTGTGTTTTTTGTTCCTGCCTTGTGGCACACTGTAGTAGAAGTAGCTGATCCGCGAAATGGTATCAATAAATGGTTGACATGAAAAGAAAAACGTGCTTTTACATACTCTGTCTCTGTCCCAGCTGAGCGAGCGTATGAGAATCGGCCAGGCCGATTTGGGAATAGCTTTCAGATCAATCATTTTCATGAAGAATCTATTCTCCAGAAGGTCAAAAGATATCGACGCGTTCCATACGCAGTTTGCATCTTAGAATGTGGGATCGTGCCTTGCAGGGCAGGTCAGCGCCAGGTTAAGGGCATCGCGTTAAGCGCATGGGCCCATGGGGCTAAGCGCATGCGCTTAAGCGCTTGTGTTTTCGGATCAGCGCGTCGGGTGGGTTGCCTAGCTGACCGGCGCACCCGAGCGGCAGCTGGAGGGCGTCTGGGCCGTCGGGGCAGGGATGGGCTGGATGGGCACCTGAGTACCGATCGGCTGATGTGTCCTATCCGAGCCGCCTTCCCTGGAGCCTGGGTCATGGGGGCCTAAGTCCCGGGCTGGGGTCCTGCCGGCGGGGTCACTGCTAGTCACTGTGTGGCACTGTGTCGCTGTGCTGCATCACGCCCCTCCCCACCCCCACCCCCACCCTCCCAGCGTCCGGCCTTCCCTGCAGCGCAGCGGCGCAGCGTCGCGGCGCGGCCTGGTCGCGGCGCGCCGTGCCCCCGCCGCCCCCACCACCGCCGCCGTACCGCCGTCGCCACTTCGGGGCCGCGTCGGAGAGTGCCGAAGTGCGCCGCCACGCGCCGCCACGCCCCGCGGGGGCCGAACCGAACCGTTTGGGAGCGGCGGGAAGGGGCGGGCCGGGCGGGCCAGGGAGGGGGGGACGTGGCGGGGGCGAGGGCGGCTAGGCTCGATGCTGTTCGCTGTTCCCTGTTCCCTTCCGTTCCGTTAGTACCGTGTTGGTCTTCGCGAGGACAGCGTGTGTGTGTGAGTGTGTGTGCGCCCGTGCCGATCTCGCGAGTCGACAGAGTCGAGCGGCGAGTCAAGTCAGGCCGGCCCCCGTGGAGCCCGTCGTAGGAATAGTCAGAGCATCACGCAGCACACCATGATGATGGAATCGGCCCAGGACGGCGTTGTCAGCCTCGCAGGAGCGTCGCCGGCTGAAGTGCCGAATGATCCAGGGTGGGTGTCATCTTCGTCACGGCGGCGTCACAGCGTCGTCACGGCGTCGTCACGGCGACGTCACAGCGGTCACGTGTCACGCGGCGTCCGGGGCGTGGCGTGCAGGTCACGCGCCGGCGCCTCCTCCAAGTAGTGCATCGACCACCACCCCACCACCAAAAGTGCAATCCAAAGAGTGCAGTGTGTGATCTAGTGTCTTGCCAGTGCCAGTGTCACAGTGTCACTGTGTTGTCACGCTGTCACGCGTGTTTTGGGATGCCTTACGACATCAGCGCGGATCGCCGGGCCGGACCCAGGATGAGTAGCACCACGTAGAGTAGCTTTTGCAGCACGCCAGCACGCGCGTGCTACCGTGTCGCGGCGCCGTGGGCGTGCGCGTCGCGGCCGTGATCCTTCCCGCCTGCCACCGCCTCGCCCTGCCGAGTGATTCAGAAGATCGCTTTGTCGCTCTGTCTCTCTCGCACCCTTACGGAGTGCCCCATGAGTGCGAGAGAGACAGAGCGACGAAACGACTCTTCGGAATCGCTCAGCTGCCTCGCCCGCCCGGCACGGCGGGGCCCCGCGGGGCAAGCCGGCGCGGCGGCCGCGCGGTCGGACAACCCTGCGGCGGGCCTCGCGCGGCCCCGCGGCCCCGCGGCCCTGCGGTACAGAGGGCGCCCGCCCCACCCCCTGGCGCGGGCCGGGGCGGGGCCGGTGCAGAGGCTACCACTCTATGGCCGTCTTAAAATAACGACTCCGACACGTCATGTGTACGGGCTGATCAATGCTGCACTGCGCGGCAATGCACCGTGCCGCGCCGTGCCGCCAGGACGACCCTAACCTCAAAACGACATGTCGTCGCGAAGGCGCGTGGACGCCGAGCACGCCGTGGACGATGGCATGGGTCCACGCCACGCCGGGCCACCATGACGCACCGAGAGCACGGCCAGCCGGGCCAGCCGGGCCAGCCGCCCCGCAGCCCGGCAGCATGCCGGCAGCCCGGCCAAGGTCAATTAAGGCATAAGTGCGCCTTCGCCCCTGGCTTGCTGGGCTTGCTGCTGCTGGCTGGCTGGCTTCGGCCTGCATGCCATGCCCGCGCACGCAGCCAACGCGCCCGGGGACTTCCCCGCGAATCCTCCGCTCCGCCGTGCTCCGCCGCCAAGCCGGCCGCACAGTGCACCAGCCAGTCCGCGTGGGAAATGGTCGCTTCTTTCTGCCTCTCCGGCTCTGCTCCTTTTTCCTCGCTCCCCTCCCCATTTCGAAACGGTGCATCCCTTGCGCATGATGTGTGGGGGACATTCTTGCCCCGCCTTTTTTCTGGCCCGCCGCTCCCTCCGCCTCCCCATCCACGTCGAGTCCACGACGACGACGCTCCGGGCGGCGAGCGCGAAGGCGACCGGCGAACCAGAACCTTGACTTGATTTTATTTCGTGGCCGGCCTCTGCTGTGAAGGGTGTGTCCCATCACGGCGGGGCCGGGGAGGTGGGGGTGGCGTATGGGGTTGCCCTCCCCCCTCCCCCCGTCCAGCTGGTGTAAGTGAACAGCTGGCGGCAAGCTGAGGTAGGCCCCTAGGCCCCCGCCTGCGCTACGCCTGCGCTACGCCTGCGTCCCGACGTACCTTGGCCCGACTGGCGCGTCGACACGAACCGCCGCAACTCGACCGCGGCGCCAGGCGAGATGCCATCTTTTGGCGGTCAAACGCGCCGCCGCCGTGTCGCCGCGTCCTGCGTTCCCTCCTAGACCTGGCAGTCCCGGCGTCCTGGCGGCGTCCTGGCACAGACACGCCTCCCCCGCCCCCTTCCTGACGTCGCCGACAGCCCCCCCGCCCCCTTCCCTACGCCCCACTCGCTTTTGAGTGACATTCTTTAAACGAGGTTGACATGCTTTGGCATTGTCGAAGAATTAGTGGGCGACGCGACGCCGGTAGACGCGCTGACGCGTTCCGCGGCGGGGCGACGGGGCGGCGGTCCGAGTCCGCGGCCCTACCTGTCCTCCCGATCCACTCAAATAGCGTGAGCAGGGCGCGGCAATGCGGCAACTGGGATCAGAGTTGCCACACGAGCAGGCCGAAACCCCCGCGATGCACCAGAGTCGAAAAGGTTGCCAACCTCAGCACGGGGCAATATCTTTGGCTTTGGCTTGCTTGGTATAAAGCCGGGTGTGCCGCTGAATTTTTCATTAATTCATTCTTGGGTGCATGCGTGCATTCATTCATTCACGCATTCATTCATTCATTCATTCATTCATTCATTCATTCATTCATTTCGGTTTGCTAATCAGGCGGAGCGGCTACCGTTTTTGGCATGTGTTCAGCGCGCGTCGCGTTCGCCGGCCCGTGCGGTGCGGCGGTATTTCTAGCTGGCTTGCTCTCTCTCTTTTTCCTTCTCTCTCTCTCTCTCTCTCTCTCTCTCTCTCTCTCTCTCTCTCTCTCTCTCTCTCTCTCTCCTAACGGACGCAGGAAGATACCTCGCGAGCGCGGCATTGTTTTAAAATATGCACGGCTCGGATTAATGAATGACACACTGTGTTGCGAGCTCGTCGCTGTGTACTACACGGCGAGCGTGGCTCGTACGCTCGGACCGGCCCGCTGCACGTGCATCGACTTAGAGCCTCCTAACGCAATTCACACGTCCCTGCGGACTGGTCGGGACTGGTCCCGCGGAGTCGCCCTGTCTCTGTCGCTCTCGTGAGCTGTCCCGCAGGGGTTGGAGAGAGACGGAGCGACGGGCCTTCGGAATGGCTCCACTGCCACCGGGCCGCCACCGAGCCCTCGGTAATTAGCCCTATCATCCGACGGGGTCCTCGAGGACCGTGTCGACCGCGTCGACCGCGTCGAGGGTCCGCCGCCTCCGCCGCGCCGTTGGCGAGGTCCGCGTCAAACGGAAAACTGTCGGCCCCACTCCGCCCCGCCCCGGCCGTCACCACCTTCCCGTGTGATGACCCCGGTGGAGCCCCAGGGCCTTGAGGGCGGGGCGGGGCCGGGGGCTCAGTAGGGAAGGCCAGGGTTTAGGCGCCTTGCCTCCACGTGCCTCCACGTGGCGCTGGAGGGTCCTGGAAGGGTGGCACACCACGTTCGTAAACCTGTAACGGATTTAGACCCAATTTAAGCACCCCTCTGTGACCTGGCTGCCGACCGGGCTGCCGACCTGGCTGCCGACCTGGCTGCCGACCTGCGGCTGCCACCGCGTCCTCAAGAAGGAGGTGCCCGAGCCTCCCCCTAAATTGGCCACGTGCTTTATGAATGTCCTTCAGCGCTGCCTTTATCCTTCATCGGACGCGGGGCGAACGGGCGCTCCGTCTCTCTCGCACTCGCTGGGCTGGGCTGGGCGCCCCGTCGGCCGCGCAGGGGTGCGAGAGGGACAGAGCACCGCTCCGGAACCAACCTGCTGCCTTTGGTGTGGCGCTTGGCCCGGTCCGCCCTTGGCTGCAGGTCTGCGCCCAACTTCTGTTTGTAATGGTGAGGGCGAGGGGCGACGGGGCGACGGGGCGACGGGGCGACGGGGTGCAGGAAGAGGAAGAGGGATGCGATTCGTCGGTCTCGTTCCGCCCCGCCGCACACAGTGGCGTGGTGGCGTGGCCAAGGCGCAGCCAAGGCGCCCTGCTCGAGGCCCTGCCCCCCGTTTTGCATAGCGCCCTCATCTCTCTTCGTCTGGGAAACTGGGGAACCGAACGGCCAAATCTCTGGCCGAGTTCAGGCACCGGGTCGGGCGGCGGCAGGGCTGCCACCCGGAAAATGGTCGGGCGAGGCTTGCCGCCGTGCCTCCGGTGAGGCCCGCCCCCCTTCGGTCCCATCCCCGAGAAGGCCGCCAAGTGCTTGGCGTAAGTAACGGCCAACAAGGCGAATCGAACCACGCGGAGCGCGAGGCGGAGCGGCTGCCCGCCGACGTGGACGACGTGGGGCTGGCAAGGCAGGCCGGCGAGGCAGGCAAACGGCGCGGCTGTAAAACGGAAACCTATTCGACGGGGTGGCGGAAGTCGGGGAGGAGGATGGGAGGGGGGAGGCCGATGGCGTGTCGCGTGCGGGGGCCGCGCCGCTGCGCTTTCGGCAGAGGGAAGTCACTGCAGGCCGAACATCCTTGTCGTCGCTCCGTCTCTCTCGCACGAACGAGGCGCGGCCCGTGAGTGCGAGGGAGAGCGACGACAACAACGCCAGCCTCCACCCTCGGCGTGCCTTTTCCCTTTTGTTCTGATGAAAATGAGTTTATAATATCGGAGGCAGTCTGAGTGGTGGGCGGCCGGGCCGGGCACGACGGCGGCCGCTTGGCGGAGGGTTCGCGACGTGTCACATTCACACTTCTGGAAGTGAAATAATGTTGAGGGCGGCGCCGCGGCGGCCACGTGGCCCGGCACGGGCCCGGCACGCCGGCCGGAGGGCCGGAGATAGCGGCACGCTTGCGGTCTTCTTGATCAGCCGCGTGACAACACAGCCGGGCCGCCCCGCCCCGCCCCGCACACTGCTCGCTTATTGAACAAACGCTGCGCCTCGCGTGTGCGACGGCGCGCGCACGCTGCGGGCTGCACGCGTGCCAGTGTGCGTGCGTGCGTGCGTGTGTGAGTGAGTGAGTGAGTGTGAGTGTGTGTGTGTGTGTGTGTGTGTGTGTGTGTCAGTGTGCAAGGGAAGAGCGTTATTCCGCGTCAAGGCCGCCAATTACAGTGAGCTAGCGGCAGAGGCCTCACTGCTGCAGCCCGCTATGTCGCTGTCCCCTCGGCCCGGCGTGGTCCAGCCCGGTCAAGTCTCCTTGTTCCGTCTCCCTCGCACTCACAGTAGAGGTGCGAGAGAGAGAGACGGGGCGACGACACTCGTGCCCGCGGCGCCGGTCTAATCTCCGTGACGATGACGCGGCCACCTCTATGAACGAATTGTGTGCGTGGCCGTATCTGCCTTATCTCCCTCCCGCACCGCCGCCGCACCCCGGGCCCTACGACGCCGACCGCACGGCGCCACGGCGCGACGCGGCGCCTACCGTGGTTCCTGATTGAGCTCCGAGAAGGCATGAGGAGGGAAAGGACGTGCGCTCTGC